TTCCCTATCGGTAAAATCCTTCGAGCGAGATGCCTCGATTTCCATAGCGGTGTTTGATCTAGGGTTTTCTCTAACCGTACCACAGAGACCTAGAGCCGGAGCTCTTGTGGCATGGCGGAAATCTGCTCAAAATCTCGAGGGGAAGAAAAGACGGCGTAGTGTTTTGTCGGCACAACTCGAATGAATTTTCTTTTCCTTTTCCTTTTCCTTGCAATGAAATTATTTTCCGGGAAAAGAAAATAAATTTAGAGAGAGGGAGAGAAAAGGAGTTTCGGCCGTGTAAGCTGTGGCGTGAACACTTGACTTTGCGTTACGTAAATCTATTTTTTTTTTTTTTTGTGATTTCTGTTTTCTCGTTTCGGACTAACTGCTTTATTTATTTATTTTCATTATTTTTCTTCAAAACATTGATGATCCCTAGTTTCCTAAGGTCGTTGGGTTACCCCACCAGAGAATAGGTTTTCGAACAGGAATTTACTATTATTTCGTAAAAGTAGTTTTTAAATTTAAATAATTATTTAGAATATTTTATACTTTAAAAAAGATTAGGATAATCTAATTTTATTAAGAAAAAATTCCAAAAAATATTCCAATCTGTTAATTTCTGATGGAAAAGTACATGATTTTTTAGATGTTAAATAAATACATTCAAATGTAATTTTATCTCAATTTCGGGACTGACGACGTTATCAAATGTATTTTCTGTTAAACGTTGTTGACGAGGAGGCCATGTCAACAAAAATTATCAACCGTCGTATGTCACGTGGCAATATTTGCCACGTCAGACCTGTTTGAATTTTAAAATCTAAACTGGTATAAAAATTTGAAATTTATAAAATAAATTTAAATTGAAAATTTAAGGGACTGGTTTTATAGTGGATAAATAGTAAAAAAACGTGATAGTTAACTCTATTTTACAGAGTCGATGAAATCTTCAAGAGAGTCAGAAACGTGATTTAGGATTTTTGCTCTGTCAAAGCAAATTTTGGGTTGAAATCTATTGATTTTCCTTCGTTTGACTTCGAATCATCAGGTCTCGGCGAATATCTAGACTACTTACGAAGAATATTTTCGGTTTCAGAGGTAAGTGCGTTTGTCTTCTGAAATAAGAAGAGTATCAATGTAATGTATTGGGAATGTATCAGAATGTTGATATTGTCACCATAGACCACCCCTTTCTTTGCTTTCTGTTATAGTAATGGAATCTTATTGAACTATTCGTGTACCTCATCCTTTTTTTGCCATAGGTGAAAAGTGAAATAGATTGTGTGACGGAATTCGATAATTACGAAAAAAATGAAGATTTAAGTTTTCAGTTTGAGTTTAGTAATTGAGACTTATATAGTAAGATGACTAGATAATAATATATCGAAATATCATTCCGTCCGTTGATACTTATTTATGATTGTTTTTGTTCTGTGTCATGTTTAGATTAAGATTTTTTGTTTGGAAACAAGTTAATAAATTTTATTGTTTGAATTTTCGGATGTAGATAGAAGATACCATGGTTTGATCTTAGTAAACTATGTTTTTTTTTAGAACCTAAGTGATAATTCAACCCGTCTTATATACTCCAATAATTATTCAACAATTACTGTTGTTTACCTTTTTTTTTAATCTTATTTAATCTCTCATAAACTACATAAAAAAAACTAAACTCCAAATAACTTTATATTTTAACAAATCACCAGTTAAAAAAATATATAATTTATCATTATTCAAAATCCAAACAAAATATCAAGATGGAAATGAAGAAAGAGTAAGATAGTTTTGTGAGGAAGATGAAAACAAAAAATAATTTTAATTTTGAAAGTTTTACATTGTTGACTTAAATTGTTGATTAATTGGGGAAGATAATGATAATATTTCATCATTAATGCTTACAAAATATTCTATCATTAAATAAGAGTAATTAAAAAGGGTATTTTGGACAAAATATTTTTTTCTTAATATGTGTGTCCAAAGTTAGAACGATATGGAAAGTTAAACGAGGAAGTACATAATAATAATAACTAGCTTTATTTACACTTTCCATCGACAACCGCAGTATTCGGTGTCTCCAGTATCAGAGATAGGAGGCGGAAAATTGGAACTACCCTCTGAAACACGAAATCGAAACAAAAACATTTCATCATTTCAGCTTATTCTCGAGAAGTCCATCTCTTTCTCAATCAGAAATCAAAGACAGGATCAAGTCGAGAAATTCAAAAATACCAACGTTCTAGTCGTCCGATTGCTGATATATTCAAAACCTAACTCTAGAGACAACAAACAAAAATTTGAGAAATGAGTTCAACATCGCAGAGACGGGGACGAACTGTGAGAGATGTTGGAGTGGGTGGAGGATTTGCAGTAGCCGCAAGAACTTCTGCGGCGGCCAATTGTCGATCAGACTCTGTTATTTTTCACAAATCAAACAAACTTTACTCTTTGTATTACACATCAATACACACATACAATACTCTTACAAAACATAACGTAGACACAAACTTTCTCTCACTATTGGTCTTCTTTGTTCCTTTCAGAGAGATCTCTTCTTTGTCTCTCTGCTTTGAACATAAAGATTTTGGTCTAAACACGAAGAAGATGTAAACCTTGAGAAGGGGCAGTTATGCTCTCGAGTAAGAGAAAATTTTAGTTTGTTGGATGCTTTATGTTTGTGAAATTTTGAGTCTAAGGAGTGTTGGAGTTATGACTCAAAATTGAAGAGAAGATGAAGCTAAGTGCTGGAATGAAGATGAAAGACTGGTCACTGGCGTGAAGATCAGTTTCTGATTGTAGATGTATTTGGACAGTTTTATGTAAAAGTTATATGTTGCAGTTAATGTTTCAGTTTCTAAATAGAAATTAACACATCAGTTACTTAAATATTTTTATATATGTTTGTACGTACGTTGATATCTTTTTAAATAAAACTAGGCTTTGAATGGTATTAGTTTTTATTTTGGGTTTTTGGCTTTAGTTTTTGGTTTTTGGTTTTTAGTTTTTGGTTTTTGGCTTTTGGATTCTGAAAGTTTATAAATCTAAAAAAAGGTGGCTTTTAGTTTTCAGTTGATTTTTTTCATAAAGTAGATTTCCGGGTTTTTAGGAAAACTAAATTTCAAAAAACTTGATTGTCGGTTTTTTTACTTTTTGAAATCCAAAAACTCCAAAAACCACTTTCCATTCAACACCTAAAAAGTGTTATTCCTCTCATTTATCAAAAAACAGAAAGAAATATGTGTTCTTTAGTCTTGCATTTTCAAAGCAGATTGCGATTTCTCTTAGAGGAATTTGTGAGATTTGTAAGAAACAACAAACTCTCTACGTCGTCGCTGTGACTGCTACTTGCCTCGCTTTTCGTCTTCGCTTTCTTCAACGACATCACCGGAGAATCGGTCGGAATTCTAGAATGATACACAACGCCAACTTCTGTGCTATCCCCGTCAGAGAAAACAAACGCGCTACCTACGAAGAAAGCGGAGATCAACGCCAGGAGACAAAAATTAGAGTGAATATTTAATTTATTTATTCATGTAGGATATTAAAAAAAAGTGTTAGTGTATATGTGATCGCATATAAATTCGTATAGATTATATTTAATTATATATTTTTTTCTGTGCGATTTTCATCAAATATTCGATTGATGGAACTTTATTAATTTTAATCTAAGTGTAACCTATTTCTAAATTTAGGATGAAAAATGACAATTTATATATACTTAATAATTTTATCCTATATAAAAATAAGATAATTGCATTGTAAAAACATCTGTGTTAACTATTAGTGTTATCCCGATACAGACTCATAGGAATCTTACTCTCTGAATTCAAAATCTTCGTGAATAACAATCAGTCTCCATCCCCACAATGATATAAATATTCGACCAAGAAACTACAAAGTCTAACAGCGTTTAAGTGTTCCTGGTGGTGATTCATATTATTTTTGTTCATCGACGCACTGATAATAACATAAAAAAGGGTTTGCTTGAACTATGTGATGATTTTTGTATCTGCAATTCTGATCATTCGGAGCTTGAACTATGGAATGTAAACTTGTGGTCTCGAGCAGAAGGTTTCATCCAAAAGAAAACGATGTCGCATAAGAGCTTGAGCAGTAACAAACTAAAGGGGCAATGCGGTAATTTTCCTTTGCTAGTTGATATGAGACTATATCAATCTCGGAATGGTACTGTTGCGGGTACTTTCTCATATACATGCATCATGTATGTTCTTGAAGAACTGTGTTATAATCTCTCCCAAAAAATCAGTGAAACCCTAAAATCAATAAATCGACCTAGACTTTTTGAGACGTAGGACCAAACACAACGTTTGGATCTGAAATCGTAACTCTCGTGTTCTCTATCTCTTGTTCTTCGATTTTTTGCTTCATGTTGTTATGTTCTTGTTGTTTTGCAAGTGATCTTTGATTGACGGTGGTTGGTTGTCAACTTATAACACCAAGAATTTGTAACTATACCAAAGACCAGGTATACATGGCAGATGCATGTAATGACGAAGTAGTCGAGATCTCCAATAACTCTTATTCTTTTGCTAGAGAAGACGACGACGACGATTTTTTTGGTATATAATATATATATAGATATAGATATAGATATACAGATATGTGAAATAATTTCACTTTTTTTTTTTAACTTTTTGCATAAGTAAATAAACACATGAAAAGACAATGGGTATTTATTTTTTTTTTATTTTGGTTAAATGTGATTCTATTACTTACAAAACAAGTGTTATAAAACAGTCCCTGACTGAATACAAAAGGATACCCATGCAAATGGTCAAAAGCAAGCTCATTAGGCTTGTTACAATCAGTGGGTGGTCACTGAGAATGGAAACTATTAGTCAAGTAGTACCAGTGTTGTAAAAGAAGTTCGTTCCTCGGGCTACCTAGCAACTGTAGGCCAAACAATATTGTTCGCATACATCGATCCAACTTATGTCGGAGCACCTCTATCGGTCTCGAACGAGTTCGAAAGATACGATTGTTTCTCTCTCTCCAGATCTCATTTACAGACAACTGCAGAATAAGTTTGGAAATGCGAGTATGATCTTTGGTCGTGACACGGTTTGGGGCATTTATCCATTGATGACATTGCGCTAGTTCTCGTGGAGCGTCAGGCCAACAAAAAGCAGCAAAGAAACCCCATAATCCGAAACTGTATGTGCAATCGAAAAACAGGTGATGGTGGCTTTCCATCTCAGATTGACAGAGACAACAAATAGGGTCAACATTGACACCCCAACACATTAATCGATCCTTAGTCGGAAGGCGTTCTAGTATAG